TCGTTTAGATTGCCAAAACTACAATACCCTATGGAAGAAATACGTATCAGAGTTCTTTATTATATATCATCATTAACTATTTTTTCCCGTAATTTATATTTTGTATTAATGTTCTTGTTCTGTACCTACATCAAAGTATTTAGATGTGATTAAAATCATAAAGTGTATATTTAGTGCAAGCCATTACTCTTTCTAAAGTTTGGACAAGTTATTAATTGTTAAAACGCTAAAACATTTTCCATGTATGAAAAAATGTTTTCGCTTGTATTAAAAAAAATTTACCTGCATTAAAAGATCAAAGTTTCGACCATGCGTGTGACGTCTTCTCTTATTTACAAAAAAGGTATTCAAGCCTTCGCTAATTACATAATTAATACATGGCTACCAATATTCCCGGTAACGAAACAGCTTCGTGTTGTCTGTTCGAGCACGCGTCGCACCCTTTTTTCCATCTTTCTCCATCGCTTTTATTCCAACCTGTTCCATCCGGTCGGCCGTGTGCACACGCTCGCTTATCCGCCCTCGCTGGTGTTATACGGCCCTATCTCCTAACATCCCTCCCTTCGGCTTTCCTTGAAGATCACCGATCTCGAATACGAGTCCTTTGGGACGCCCCTTCATGAGGCGATGTTCAGGCCAACCGCAAAGTGCTCTCAAAGGTTCAAATATATATATACTATATATCCACTACACATTCAGCGACATGATCGATCAATAGTGCAGATGATGACCAGATTTAAAGATCGATATTAACATTGATTTCAATTTAAATCAAAATGTACACTTGTTTACTATATTAATCGACATTGGGAGGATTGGTCCTAGAGTTCAAAAAAGTCTAGAAAGATTCTATTCAAGTTTAATAAAATAGAGGTGAAAAAATAAACATGAAAAATATGTATTGTGTAAAGTTGAAAGTATTTCTCATATTTCGCCGTATTTAGGCCGCATTTAGTACCAAAGGCAACCTTGTAACAAAGGCCAAGTCACACTATGTTCTCCTAGACTTGAAATTATATATTTATTCTTATTCACCTCTCACTAATCTGTGAATTTTGCGTATTGGACATAAAAAATTTCACTTTAAATCTGTGGTAGAATAAATTTAAAATTTGTTTGATTCAGTTCCGTTAAACGCAAAGAGACATGGCTTATTTTATGCATATTTGTTTATTTCCGCTAAAGAAATCTACTTGACGTTTGGGTGGAATATGAAACACTAACTGCTGGGAAAGTGGAGCGTTGAAAGTGTGATGACGAGCGAGAGATAGAGTCGAATATTTTTTTCTCGCGATTACTTAATTTCGTGCGGCACACGATGCTAACCCGTCTTGGAACTTTGGCGAAAGTTTTCAGTGGAAATTAAGAGAAAGATACTCATATATTTAAAATGTATGCTGAAAAATCTAATATCGTTTGTATGATATAAAAATCAAAGATGTATATTATATGCTTAACGCACAAACATTTGGAAATCACCAATATCTGAACGATTTAGACTTTGGCAACTATTTTTGCTAGTTTTCCTCGTTTTTCTCATTGTAAATTAGTGGCACTTCTGATATTATGCTTAGTCATTTATTTGCCTGTTGGAGTGTCAATGATTAAATGTCTGTTACGTTCATTTATCAGATTACATCGTGCGAACTTACATCGAGAGGCCTTGCACACGCAGTATCTCCTTCTCTCATCTCTCTTTCTTTCTCTTTCTCTCTTTCTCTCTCTCTCTCTCTCTCTCTCTCTCTCTCTCTCTCTC